TTTCTGTTTTGGAAGTGTTTCTTTTTTAATTTAGATTTTCTGTTTGGCCAATATGTGTCAGAAGCGGGACTTAAACAGTCATTATTATTATTATTTATTTAGTTATATTTTTAAATTAAGTTTTTTTTTTTTTTTTGATTTTCTGTTTGGCCAATAAGTGTTGGAAACAGGATTTGTTTTTAATTATTATTATTATTTGATTTATTTATTTATTTTAATTAAGACTTTCTGTTTAGCCAATACATGTCGAAAGCGAGACATGAACAGTAATGATCAGTAATTACTAGCAAACACTATAATACTTTCTCATATACTTTCGGCATTCAACAAATATGCAATTATACAATTTAAGCAATTCTATGAATATCTAATAAATAATTCAATCGACAAACTTTGGCAAATCCAACCGTTTTATGAACCTTGCATGTTTGTCCAAATTACGGTGTCTAAACTGTTTGGAGCAGCCTTTGTATTGGAAGTGTAACACTTTATGCCACGACACATTAAAACGTCATCCATGCAGGCAGCTCACTAGGTTTTGGATGTGAATGTGTATCTGTCTGGACTCACCAAAAGGATCGCCATGTGGACACTCCAGAACCCCGCAATGGGAGACTCACGGCAAGGCCTTCTGGAAAGTTCTGAATGCCAATGCCTATAGCCAAATTTCTGAAAGAAACAGACATTATCGCCAAATCAGTTCCCAACGGAGAGCACACACACAGATCGGTTTTGACACTCTGTAACTTTTCAACTCTCTTAACTTCACACATTATCTCAGCGAGAGATTTAACAGCGTGCGTCGGCCGTGCCAGGCTTGAGAAACGACTGTTGACTAAAGCTCTCCGTCTGAATCAGATGAAGGCTTTCTGGAGTGCAGCATATGGGTGTGTCGTACCACAAGACCATGAGAAAAACGGGTTACGGATGGGGCACGAACTACATCTGGAATCACACTGCTGTGTTTGGATAATCCTGCATGAAAGTTTCTCACACAAGCCAAGACGGTGACTGTAAAACGGCTCACGAGTGTGTCAGCGGGCATTTACTCAAACCAGAGTGTAAGAACAACACTTCATTCTGGAGGATGACTTTGATTTGCTCTGGAGAGATGTGGGAAGGCGCTGGGAGCGGGTTTCTCTCCCGAAACGGTCTGAGGGTGGTCTCCACCATACAACTGATAAGCAGCTCTATTTGCTCGGCCTACACTTCTCCACATCGTAAAGCAGCCACCCTCTAGAAGTTCCCGGAGCTTGCGCTCACAAAGCAAGAAAAGCTGCTCTGTTTTGGGAAGAGTGTTTTGACTCCCCCCTCTTCACTGCCTTCTTCAGTCTCTCCTGCTGTACGATGTGCGCTGGCATGCTCTCAAGGTACTGCCCCCAGAGAAGTCAGATTAATGACAGCTAGTCACGGAAAGGCTGGAGAGTTGGAGGGAGACAGAACGCAAGCGAAAGACTGAAGAGAACGGACTCTTACACGCAACACAAAATCAAAGCAGTGTAACAAAAATGTATGCACATGAATGAGGACTAGGACTGTCAAGACACACACACATGCACAAAAGCACCATTAAACTATTATTAAAGTGGTCCAAATGGCTCTTCTTCCAAGTCTTCTGAAGCAGTACTGTGACTTTAAGACTGTTCCTTCAACACAATCATATGGCAATTTTTAACTATTTACATTATGACTAATTGGAAGCTAATTTGCATTAATTCATACAATGTCATTCGTACAACTTGAAGAACATTCTGGCCGTCCTTTTCAATGTAATGCACGTGAATGAGAACTGGGACTGTCAAGCTCCAAATTGACTAAATAAAAGCACCATTAAAATATTGTAAAAGTAGTTCTTTCAAGTCTTCTGATGCAATACAAAACACACACACACGCACAAAAGCACCATTAAACTATTATTAAAGTGGTCCAAATGGCACTTCTTCCAAGTCTTCTGAAGCAATACTGTAAATTTTGGACTGTTCCTTCAAGGCAGTCTCATGCAATTAGTGACTTTTTCCTTTTTGGCAAATTGGTGGCTAATTCATTTGAATTCGTACAATCTCATTTCTAGGTTTTTGCATGTATCGAAGAACATTCTAGACATTCTTTTCAATGTAATGCATGTGAATGAGGACTAGGACTATCAAGAAAAGAAAAAAAACACCATTAAACTATTATTAAAGTGGGCCAAATGGCAAATTTTTCATGGAAATTTATAACTATTTTACATTTTGGCAAATTGGTGGATGATTGTATTATTATTTTATTATATTATTTCATTTGCATGAATTGGTATGTCTTGAACATTCTGGCCGTTCTCTTCAACATAATGCATGCGAACGAGGACTAAAACTTTCAAGCTCCAAAACACCAAAACAGCACCATTAAACTATTATTAAAGTGGTCCAACTGGCTGTGGTCTGTTTCTCCAACACAATCTCTTGGCATTTTGTGAGTATTTTTCATTTTGGCAAATTTGGTGGCTAATCTGTATGAATTTGTTCAGTCTCATCCATTAATTTTCATAGGATCTGCTGGACTGGGATTTTGGGCCAATGAGATATCATGGTGGGCGGGGCTATAGTATGCAATGCAACAGACAATAATATAGTTTTTATTACTGGTCACTTTAATGCATCGTGTCTGGTTAGGTGTAACTAATTTCCTAGTTCAGACCAAGAACAAGGTGAAAAGTGAAAAATTCAAGTTATGATCAACTGGCAGTAGCAGCAGATCTTTTCTTCCATATTGTGATGTACATCCGAGTGATTGTTGGGGGAAAAAGTAGGGCGGGGACTTGGTTCTGTGAATCAGTTGTTGATTGGATGGAGGCATAAAGGGGTGGAGTTTAAGCAGATTAAATCATTAGAGAAGTCCTGCATATGTCACCAGTGAGAAGTCTGTCGTTTCACCAGAAGATCAAGTTTTGAGATTTTTAGGTAGCATTGATCTCAGTGTGAGATAATGTCCAGATTAAAAAAAAAATCAAAATGGCCTTTCAAAAACATTGCATTTATGTATATAAAAAGCTTTATTTATTTAAAATGTAAATGTCCATAAATGTAAGCCTCCAGATCATGAGAAATATAAATTCAGCCAAGCGTGTGCAAGTTTTGACTGGCGGTGGTGAAACTATGACATTTTGATTAAACATAATGAGGTTAATTTTTATGGATTTTGCATGGATGAATCGTTCACAATAAAATCCCTGAGATGCATTTAGACAATAGATGGAGTGATTTTCCATTTCCTGTTGACTTGAGAGGGGAAGAGAAATGAAGAACGGATGAGAGGACACGAGAGACTGTGATGTGGCATAATGAAAGACTGAAGAGAAAACCAAGGGGAGTTTTTGGAGAAGGGCGAAGTGAACTCACTCACCCAACTGAAGAGTCCACGGCCTAATGTTCACACAGAGTGGAAACAACAGCCCTTCTCACCATTTCAGAAACAAGTTTTCCCATCCCCAGGAATTCTTCTCTGGCATATTTCACTCCTCTGAGGCAGCTCTATTTCTGTGAGTCTATTCACCCACCTCTGAGGACAGGCTTCAGCAACCGCAAGCTCTCAGCAGTAAAATAGGGTGGAGATCTTAAAACGTACAATGTCCTTCCAACACGTCCCTTTCTTAGCTCAGTATACAAGTTTAAAGGCGAAGTGAAATGAAGCGGTGATGTGTGTTTGTGATACAGTGTGTGTCTGGGCTGACGTCTGTATTAAAACAAACAAAAAAAGCATAAAGGGAAACATTCCAGCGTTATTGCAAAAGCATGAAGAAGCCTCCATTGAGAGGGGAAGACAGTGGCTCCAGTGTCTGACCACAGAGCTCCTCTCTGGGCACAAAGGGCCTTTGGTGCCCCCCCTCCATCCATGGGGGTCTGCCCTGAATGGGCATCTGTGTGTTGGGAAGAGCATGGGGATCTGGGTGAAATGAGGGAAAATCCCCAAAACCATCTGCACCAATCACTATGGCTTTCCGGCGATCTTTGACCTGCGCACCCAGCGTACCCGCTGCTTTTCACTCACAACTGTGGGAAAATATACCTAAACACAGCCTCTGTTTTGCCACAATCGATCAGCCGTGTGATCTACTGGCTCAAAACAAAGTTTCACTGAACAGTGCAGAAACATTCAACTCAGTCAATTGTATATTACCTATACAGTCCTATGTAAATTAATTCATCTTCGTTTTCATTAAAGGTTGCACAAAAAAAAAATAAAAGTAGCATTTTAAAAATAAATGTAATTTGTCACAGGCTCACATGCTCTTTTTTTTCTCAAAAAGGTATTAGAAATCAATAATGAATTATTACGAATGTCAGGATTACGAAAGATCAGAAAGAAAGAAAGTGGATAATAACCAGACCAACAGAAGAAATTTCAATTGAAATGGTCTATCAAAAATGTTAAATAAATAAATGTTAAAATATATTTTAAAGTATACTGAAATAGAAAACCATTATTTTACATTTAAATAATATTTCACAATATTAAAAATTGTTTCTGTATTTTTGATCAAATAAATGCAGCCTTAGTGAGCAGAAGAGGTTTCTTTAAAAAAAAACATTAAAAATCTTACTGATCTCAAACTTTTGAACAACAGTGTATATATGAATTATTTATTAAAAATGTAAGCATTACATATTCAAGACTTTAAGCAAAATTTTTAAAAAGTAGCATTGATGTCAATGCAAAATAATTACCAGATAAACTGGCCTTTCAATAAATAAATACATTTTCATACAAAAATTAAAATGTACGAATTTAATATTCAAGAATTTATGCAAACTTAATTTTAATATAAATAAATTTAAAGTGATGCAAGTGATATTCACAGTCATGTCTGGTATCATTTGACATGTCTCATTGTGACTGGTACAATGGTCTCACTCTTACAAGAAGTAGACTAAAAGGTAATATAGATCCTATGAGTTTAGAGATATTTTGCAAGCATGGGGTGGCATATTTCATAGTACTAGCCATAACCTCTGATTATTGTTTGAGCTTTAACTAAGTCGTTACATAGTTGTATAAATATTATACAGACACAATCTATTCCATAAACTCTCTATAACTTCCAGCACTGTAATGCAGAATCTCACGGTTTCCTCTCTCAAACTGTTATAAAAGCAGTTTTGAGAATGGCAGGTGCGTCTCTGAAGCAGCCAGACAGAAAGTTGGATTGTGGGTCATATTTTACTGGCATGTATAAATAAACACACACACACACACACACACACACACACACACATTTACTTTGCTATCTAAATGGAGACATTCCATAGGCGTAATGGTACCTTTACTGTTCTGAGCAGAGCCAGATGCACATGTTTAGCACTGTTTTTTAGGAAAAATCTGCACAATTATGTAATGAGGCATTCACATGGGTGATGAATTGGATTCTTTTATTATGGTCAAATCATCAAATGCTGTCGACATGCTTGTCCTTGAAGGAAAAAACAAACAAATAAAATGTGACCCTGCAGCACAAAACCAGTCATAATGGTAAATTTTTTGATGTATACCCAATAAATACCAATCTTTCCATTGATGTATGGTTTGTTAGGATAGAACAATATTTGGCTGAGATACAATTATTTGAAAATCTGGAATCTGAGGGTGCAAAAAAATCTAAATATTGAGAAAATCATCTTTAAAGTTGTCCAAATGAAGTTCTTAGCAATGCATATTACTAATCAAA